TTCTAAGCCTCCCCCCCCTCAAACACGCCCGGCCCCACACGCGCTGCATGTCCCCGCTGCGGGGGGGGGCCACGCTGGAGCCACTCAATAAAGGCTGAGATGCTGAGAGATGCGTGGGGGGGTCCTTTGGGTGGGTGGGGGGGTTCTATAGGGGGCACACAGGACCCTATGGGGAGCACACAGAGCCTACAGGGGGCAGAGATCCTATAGGGGCACATGGAGTCCTATGGGGGGGATCATGGGGCCTGTAGGGGACACGGGACTTATAGGGGGAATGGGACACCCTATGGGGAGCACACAGTGCCTGTAGGGGGCATAGAGCCTATAGGGGCGCATGGAGTCCTATGGGGGGGGAGCGTGAGACCTATAGGGGGCACACAAGATTTATAGGGGGAACGGGACACCCTATAGGGGGACACACGGGCCTTATAGGGAGAACAGGGATCCCTGTAGGAAGAACATGAGGCCTATAGGGGGCACACAGAGCCTAAAGGGGGCACAGGGCCTATAGGGGGCATAGGGCACCCTATAGTGGGCACATGGGACCTATAGGGGGCAGGGGGAGGTCTGTGGAGAGCTCATGGGGTCTATAGGGGGCACATGGGACCCATAGGGCCCATGGGGGGGGCACAAGGCCTATAGGTGCATAGGGCACCCTATAGGGGGGCACACAGGGCCTATAGGGGACATAGGGGGCCCTTTGGGGAGCTCAGGGGGTCTATAGGGGCACACAGGGAATATAGGGCCTATAAGGCACCATATGGGTAGCATATGTGCCATACAGGGAGCACACAGCGCCCATAGGGATTACGTGGACACCCCATAGAGAGAGTAAAGAGCCGTATAGGGACCTCTGTGGGGAATACGTCACCCTATGGAGAGCACAGCAACCCCTGTAGGATTCCACAGGGCGCACGCAGACCTCATAGGACTCCTGGAGGGAACACATGGACCCCAAAGAGCACATACTCCCTGTAGGGAGCCTATGGATCCATATAGAGAGCACACGGACCCCTATAGGAACACACAGACACCGACAGGATGTACCCAGGCCCCTATAGGAGCACCCGGGATCCTATAGAAAGCACATGGAACCCTATAGGAGCACGCAGAACTCTATGGGAGAACACAGATCCATATAGGAACACCCAGACCCTTATAGAGAGTATTTGGAACCCTTTAGGAGTGCACAGGCACAACACCCTACAGGATCACCCAGAACCCCGTAAGTGCACACAGACCCCCACAGGAGCACATGGGCGCCTATAGCAGAACACAGAGCCCTATATGAGAAAACACGGACTCCTATAGGAGCCCACAGATCCCCATAGGAGATCGTCATTCCCTATAGGAGCACACAATAGGAGAATGTGGAACCCTACAATGGACCCCTATAGGAGCAGATGGATCCCTACAGAAAGCACATAGAACCCTATGGGAAGGCAGAACCCCATAGGAGAGCACAGGACACTATAGGAAGGCACAGAACCCTACAGAAAGCACATGAAACCCAACCGCAGAACATGGAACCCTACAGGAGCGCACCAACCCTATAAGAACGCACAGATCCTCATGGGAAGAGCACGAAACCCTGTAAGAGAGCACGGAACCCCATAGGAGCGCACAGGAAGTACCCGGACCCCTTTAGGGAGAGCACCGCAGGGCACCACGTGATGTACCACGTGACTCAACTCAGGGCAGCTCTGCGCATGCGTATTGAGGTTGCAAGGGGCGCGCGAAGGGGACAACTTCCGGTCCCGGGCCGCTCGCTTCCGTCGCCTCGGCGGGGCGGGCGGAAGTGGGGCGGGCGGAATCGGGCGGCCATGGCGGCGGCGGCGGCGGCGGCGGCGGCGGCGGCGGGACCGGCGGCACCGCGCACCAAGACCAAAAAGAAGCAGAAGCGCTTCGTGCCGCAGCGGGTGAAGGTGCCGCGGGCGGCCGATCCGCTGTTAGCCGTGCTGGCCTGGGGCGTCAACCACCAGGTGCGGCCCGGCGGTAACGGGACCGGCCCCAGGCCCAACCGGCTCCACCGGGCCCTGGGTTCCCCGCGACCCCCCGTACCGCATCGCTGGTCCCCAGGCGCTTTGGGGGGGGGTCTCAGGGCCGGGAGACCCTAACCCCCCCCTCCATCCCCGCAGATCAACGAGCTGAGCCAGGTGCCCCCCCCCGTCATGCTGCTGCCCGACGACTTCAAGGCCAGCTCCAAAATCAAAGTGAACAACCACCTCTTCAACCGGTGAGCGGGGGGGGCGCCCAAAGGGGTCCCGAAGTGGGGATGGGGTTGAGGGTGATGGGT